ATAAGTATTTGAACACCTGAGAAACAGCAAGAATTCTGGCTCTCAAAGACCTGTTACTGTGCCTTGAAAAAGTCCTCCTCTACTCCACTCATTAATCTAAATTAGTAGCACCTGTCTGAGCTCTTTAAAGACACCTGTCCACCCCACAGTCAGTCAGACACCAACTACTACCATGGGCAAGAGCAAAGAGCTGTCAAAAGACACCAGAGACAAAATTGTGGACCTCCACAAGGCTGTATATAATACACGAGTTTCACTATTTGAGTTGAATTACTGAAATAAATGGACTTTTCCATGATATTCTAATTTATTGAGCTGCACCTGTATTATTTCATCATACACTTAATGAGATTATTAGCAATCTGAAGCACAGGTGAGTCCCATTTTCTGTCAGATTGGCTGAACATTACTGTAACCAGTATGTTACAGGTTTACGTTTATGTTATAGGTGCAGGTAGCTACCATGGCCAAGAGATGAACAGTATTCCTCACACATTTGGTTTCCAGTGTACAAGAAGAATCCATGAGCTTTGTGGCAAAATATGTATTTAATCTTTTGCATCTTGTCACTGAAAAATTAAATGTGTTTAAGATAACACATGACCAGGAATGTTCTTTAGTTACATACCTGATAACCAGATGCTGTGTTTTGACCAGATGTGCACTGGTCATTTTCTGCTTATACATAAACTAATTTCAGCACTAAACAGAGGCTGTCAGTGAAAAAAGTAAAATGACTAGGCTATGTATCAACTGAAAATGAACTGGCAAGAATTTTGATAATTGACAGCTTCTCCAGTGTGAGGATGTGCTGACTTTCTATTCTGTTATTGTAAATGTAATACATTTGGGTGTTGGACTGCTGGTCGAGGTAATCAAGACATTTGAAGACATTTTGAGACTCGAATTAATTATTAGTGAATCCATAATAAAAAAAAACCTTTGCAGCTCCAGCTTAGTTTATGATTGATGTTGTGAAGGAAATTGTTATTATATATGTAATTTATTAAATGTTTTTCGTGACTACCTGAAGCAGGTGTGTTGGTGGAAGAATGCGTACATGATTGTACATGAAGCATGTTCATAAACTGCTCACGTCTTTGGAAGCGTGCTCTATACATGTATATACACATGTATTTTATGTTGACATCCATCTTAAATGACAGCCAGTGCACTGTGTGTGTGTCCTGCAGAGACATCTGTCCCATCCTGAAGGATCCCGCTGCTCTCACAGCAGTCATCGACCTGTTTGAAGAACACGTGAAGAAGAATCACAAGCGGGTTGATCTGATCGCAGGTAAGAAACAAAGCAGAGCGTGTTTAATTGTAAACCTGGCATGCCGTTAAGGAACAGTCAGAGAGATGCAACAGTGTTCATCAACATACTTTGAGAAGGTAATGCTGTCTGTTTGTAGCCCTCTGTTGGTGTGCACGTATTGTCTATTATCCCCCTATACCCAGTGACTAAGCACTGTGAATTAGCTATGCCAGGAAGACCCGTACAAAGGAAAGGGCTTGGACCAGATCAGAAGATTCTAGACTCGTAGGAGCCGAGAGGTGAACAACCACAGTGAGACAATCAACACAACTTGTAGTAAAACAGTTGAATTTACTGCGGATGTTGTAAATGGGCGTAAAGTTACATGCATTTAGGAAAATAACATTAACCAAGGGTGAGCGCGCATACAAACAAAATAAAGAGGTCCAGTTCAGTCCCTTTTGCAGTGTATATAAAGTCTATTCAAGTCCCAGGTCAGTTCAATGTCTTTTTCAGTTCAATGTCTTTGTTCAATGTCCTTTTCAGTTCAATGTCTTGTGACCAGTTCGGTCACTAGTTACCACTTTGTTCGATTCCTTGGGCAGGGCTCGCCATCCAGTACTGGAGAGAGGTCTGTTCTTGCTGTTGTAGAGCAGCTTCGAACATTCTTGCATATATATCTCACCAATGCAAGGCAAAGGCAACGGTGTGGGTTCCCAGTTCTCCGTTGGCGCACAGCTTTGCCTCAGCTCAATACCTCAGTTTCACATGGTTCTTAAGCTCGGTGTGTTGCAACCAAATGCGGCTCTTAAGCATCTGATACAATGTCCAGAGCGTGAACAGGATGTTCGGTCTCCAAGGAGGGACAATTAACCTTATTGGTTAATGTGAGAGAATAACAATTCATCTGGTTGGCTGCACGCATTGTCACAAAACACAATGTTGTAATTGTACCGGTGCTCTCAGCACTTTTCAACGCCTCCCAATGATTTCCCAGTGAACCCGCTTCCAACCTACAGTATACTAGCTCCCAATCATACTGTGAAACTATCAGCCATACAGGGCCCCATCTGCTCTTAGCACTGGGTTACATGTTATTTATCTGGACAAAGCTGTGTTCATACCAGGGCAGCTTGCTTCTGTTAGGAGCTGATTTACTCAGCGAGTAACCACTGCACTATCAGACATGGCAGAGACCTAATGTGAGAGGGCCTTATCTGTGTGGTACATAACATAGGCCTTATGATTTGGTGGCTGGTTTAGATCTTTATATAATGATCCCCTCAGCCATTAACACTAACAGCCTGGTCTCCACCCCTGTATCTCTCCAGCATGATATAATGGGGCTGCCCTGTGAGACCCCCACCATGGCAATGGAACCTTTAGCTTGTGTTATTCCTGCTAAAGAAGATGAGGAAGTTTTGCACCTCTGTGGGCATAATTTCTTATGTAATTATGCAAAACCTGGAATTTCTCTTGACCAGGCTTCTATTCCTGGGAACATCACAGAATATGAGAGAAATAGTAGAATCTCCTGAAAACCATTGTGTTGTGCTGGAAGATTATTTTGACATCATTTTCCTTTAGTTGAGAGAGAACCATCAGGTCCGAGAACGATGGAAACGAGAAGGCTTCACAGTGTAGCAGTATGTAGTGTTAGTCTGCTGCTGGAGATAAACTTCAGTTTAGGTTTTTCTGACAACACTGGAGTCAGCCTCCTATTCACTAGTTTTTGTTAGATGTCCTAGGTGAATCCTTAACCCTGTGTAAAACATTTATTCATGAAAATTAAAAATTGTTCCACCCTTTGTAATTTCACACACATTAAAATGAACTAGTTCACGTTTGTAGTTCACAATTTTTAATTTGCAACTATAAAATGTGTCATTTATACACAGAGATGCTTGCACATATACACTAAATGTTTATATTGCCTCATATTCTCAGTTGTAAAGAGACTCAGTATGACACTAACTTGTGCACGAGAGCTATGAAGCTAAAAGCCTATTTAAAAAAACCTCTCCTAAGTCTCAAGAAAATAACAGAACAATTAAATTACATTAAAAAAGAACAACATCAATTCAAAAAGAAAGAAATACAACAAACGCAAGATAACAACAGCAACAACAACAACCTCCTACTTATTCTTAAGAAAAAAAACTCTGCATCTTCAGTTGACTAACAATCAACACTTTAGTTGTAAAATTTGGTAATTACCGGTGGCTTGCTCAGATGTTTCTACGATGAACAGTATGTAAATATGAATTTCACAGATTAGGTCTTCTGGATCAAAATGTAAATTTGACCTTATTGCTGAAACATAATGGAAGATGAAGATGTTTAGTCTGTTTACTAAAATATGAGTGAATTTGAGTGTTACTATATCATTCTGTGAAATAATGAGATTTGTATCATCTGCAAATACTATTGGAGAAAATGTATCAGAGATATTTGAAAAGTCATTAATTTAGATTTTTAAAAGCAATGGTCCAAGTATGGAACCTTGTGGCATCCCATATGATATTGTGTCTGTATCTGATTTATACTTTTGAATCGCAACATATTATTGTATGTTGTTTAAATAATTTTCAAACCATTTCAACACAGTGTCTCTTAAACTGGATTTTGACATCAAGCTCTTAATTTTTAGCATTACATTTTGAAGACAGAACAAACAATATGATCATTAATGAAATGGGACTAAACATAAACTTCAACCGCTTGTCTGCCCTTTATTATAGTACCAAACAAATGTTTTTCTCTTTGTGTGAATCAACATTGGAGAGTGACAGGAGTGAGTTACTTTGTAACCACTGTAAAAATATAAAGTTTGTCAACTGTAACATCTTGGTCCTCCTGAACCGACCTCCCTCCCCTCCCTGCTCTCTCATGCTAACTATAATGTAGTAATAGATAAGTGATGAATAATTTTAAGTCAACTGTCCATAATTATAGGCATTTACTGTTTATACGGTACATTCACAAGTGAATGTGAGGCTTCAGGTAGAGATGCAAGCTGACCTGGCAGAGGTAGACTTGACACTCTGTAATAGTGAGCTGAAGAAAAGATTCATTTTGTCTGGAACAATACAAGAGAATTTTTTTTGAAGAAACCTGTTTTATATGATGAGCAGTGACAATTTAAGGGTAATAGGATCCTTGTACATATACATGGTGATAATATGTTTGGATAAATAAAATCAAATGTTGGTCTGATTGTTCTTTTTTTAATGTATGTAGTTATCAACAATGATTAAGAAGAAACTCTGGGATGGATTTGCTCATTCCTCTTGTTCAGAACATGACTAATGCCTTAGAAAGGCAACCACCTCCAAAGGTACAGCTGCCAATATGCTTCACTCACCCAGTGCTTTCTGCTCCACCCAGCTCGCGCTTGAACAAGATTTGAATACCTCCTTAATGTGGTATAGACAAGGCACATGTATAAGACAAAAAGTCATTTTGTATAAAGTTTGAACAGAGCTTGTATTACTCCGATGAGACTTTCCAAAACTGAGGACAGTTATCCTAGTTGATGGTACAGACATATTTTAAAGATTGATAGAGGATTTATCCCTTTTCTGTGACTCACCTTAATTATTTTTGTTGTACCCAGTCAAGTTGAATTGGTTAACTGGAGATCATATGAGTGGAATAAATGTGTGACAGCTTTTTGTTTTTCTTCATGATACAAATCCACTTTGATCTGGAAGGTCTAACATTAGAGGATTATATTGTTGCAAAGTGCCATTTAGGAGCTGAAGTGATCAAGCAATTAGACCTATTTGATCTTAACCATGACCTATAGATTCATGAATTTGACTAAAAATATCTTATCATAATGCATTTTTCTATTGCATATTGTTATGTTAAAAACCTTTTTGGTTGTTTGTGCAGGGTTAGATGCTCGTGGTTTCCTCTTTGGGCCTCTGCTTGCCCAGCGGATGGGTGTCGGATTTGTCCTGATCAGAAAGAAAGGCAAACTGCCTGGAGCCACTGTGTCTGTGGCATATGACTTGGAGTATGGCAAGGTGACAAACACACATGCTAAGAATTTTGTTTAAAGCAATGCCTTGCATTTGTGTTCTCCAGTCCACGTGCTGAAGTGTCCTTGAGCAAGACACTGAACCCCAGTGCTCCTCACCTGCTTCCTAACAGAATATTACAAAAGGAGTGTGCTAGTGCAATTCTCTGATCTGCTCTGCTGTTGGAACTTTAGAGGAGAAATTGGCTGATGAGTAAGAAGTATGTGGGCCTAGGTCACATTGGACACCTTCTGCAGCCTCTACAAAGGCTTTGCGAGTATGACAGAACACCTTTTTGAACCTGTATCTTTCTGGAGGAAATGCGTGCTCTCCCTCACAACTGCTGCACCATCACAGTTTCAGATTTATACAGCTGTTGCTGCAACTCGGCTCTTACAACCGCAGAGGTTTCCAAAGTTAGAACTACAAAGAGTTTTCATCTGTAACATACAGTATACTGTCTGGCCACAGAGCCATAAACAAGCACTGTGGAATCCAGTTTGATAAAATAATAAGCTTGTAGGCCCAGATATCAAGACCACCAACGAACACCTACTGACTGTATCCACAAACACAGCACATTGACATTCTTGTTGCTTCAGCTTCTTCTGCTTTGGTGCTTGGGTGTAAATGACAAAGGACATGACTTCAGCCAGAAAATCTGCTAGTGTCTGTTGGGCATTAAGAACATTTCTATATCTGTGTCCTAAAACCGCTCTAGCATTGTTGTTGCTCTTTCAGGGTGTCACCATGCTAGGATGTGAATTTGTGCTCCAGTCAAAGGTCATGTGTTCTGGGCAGCACTTTTTTTCCCTCAAGGATCTCTCCTTAATTGTCTCCTTTCATTGTTACATCAGTCCCATGCAGTTTGTGTCTGCTGTTGAGAGGTATTCCACACCACAGTCTCTGTAATGAACAGGGTTTTCTTAGTGTAGTCTTACTGTACTTCTGTTCCTCCAGGCTGAGGCAGAGATCCAGGCGGATGCAGTTTCTCCAGGACAGAAGGTTCTGCTTATTGATGATCTTCTGGCTACTGGGGGTAGGAAACCTCCTGGTTAGATCTGCTTTTGTAACCATCAAGATAACTGTTCAATCTTGCATTGCTGTCAGCTAACCAAATAGCATTCAGGTATACATATAATGGTGCGTTTCCAAAGGAACGTTCCAAATACTTTTATTCCCAAGAACTGACGTTGAAGAAAGTTCTCTTGCGCGCATTGACAGTTTATTCAATTTAAACCATCCTGCATATTTTTATACCTTTATTTGCTTCAGATACAAGTGCTTCTATATTGCAGTGTGAAATATTGACTTTGATTTGTATAATCTGCAAACAGGTTTGGAGAAAATGCATCAGATACATTTGAAAAGTCATTTATGTAGATTTTAAAAAAGCAGTGATCCAAGTACAGAACCTTTCGGCACCTCATGATATTGTATCTGCATCTGCGTTATACTTTCAAATTGCAACATACTGCTGTCTCTTGTATAAATTGTTTTCAAACCATTTCAGCACAGTTGTGATGGTGATTTGGATTTCCCATGAATGTATTCTGTAATACATCCATGGGATTTCCACAGCAGGGCTAACGCCAAGGGAAGAATTAGCCTGCTCATAAGAGTATGATGATCTGCCGTGAGGTGATTGATTGATTGATTGATTCTTTCAAACATGCAGAACAGAACAAATGAACAGATGACAACAACACACATAATTTCACATATCCAACCAATACTAATCCAAAATCAGTTTGCTTACACCTAATACATCATGTTCAATCTTGTATGTTAACAATGGCGTGTGTAAAATGCAGCACAGGATTTGACCAATCAACGACCTTCGGCGATGCAGGCTCTGGTGGAAATGCAGATAAAGAAACTCTCTCTAGGGGAGAGTTCTCTATGGAAAGTTCCTTAGGTGGAAACCGGGCTTTAAAATCTCCCAAATTTGCCACGATGTCGGTGTTTTGTTTACTGTAAAAGCTTCAGGGAAGTTCATCCTTTGACTTTGAATTTCAGATGAAACCCCCTAAAGTGTGTTGATTGTATTTTGAAATGAGATTGTTTGATTTATCTGGCATAAATAATCTTAATGGGAAAATCAGGTCATTATTAATGGGATCATTTCCATGTACTCAAAGAGAGCAACTTATATGGCTGACCTGAGGCACTATTTAGGCTGACACTAACCTAAATGAAGTATCATGTGTAAAAATGTGATGCTGCTCTGGAGCCTGAAACATGCTACTAGAATAAATATGAATTTTTCAAAGTGGTTAATCAAAAATTTAAACTATTATTCCTCTGTTATATTTTGATTTTATAGAAGTGGGAATTCTGATTGGCCAGCTGTAATGTATGTGGAACCATCTTGTGTTTTAAAGTGATATTCAGATGTGTGTTTGTGCTGCAGGGACACTGTATGCAGCCTGTGAGCTGATGAGGCAGCAGCAGGCCGAGGTTCTGGGTTGCATGGTAGTCATCGAGCTCAAAGAGCTGAATGGCATCGACAGAGTGAAACCACATAGTGTCTTCTCCCTGGTTCAGTACTGAGGACCACTGAAGCTGCTATACTGGAAACGGGTCAATCCTCAGTCCAAGAAAACAAGAACCCTTTCCAGCTCCCGCACACCTCTACACTTTTTGTCATTTCATTTTAGTTCGTGCTAAGGTATAAAATACTCTGGTTGCATGGGCCAGAGCCTTACCCAGTAACAAGAGGACAGTGTCTTTAAATGTCTTTAAATGTCTCTGGAGTTTTCGGTTCTTTTCATCTAATCCATGCTGGGATCAGTCCTTGCTTCTTTGTGTGCTTATAGGATGGATGGATAGACTGATATTGGTCAGAAAGGCGTAACAGCTGACAATGTCTTCTCTTTTGCAGTTTTTGTTCTACTATACTTGATGGCCTCCTCATCTTTATATTTAATATCTTCAAGCAATTCTCTACCTAACTGTAAAGAATAGGAATGTGCTTCTGTGTCTTGAGGTTTTGAAAGCCATGCTATGCTAACCATGTGAGGCTACAACCAGCTGTAGCGTGCTGTGCTGGCTAATGAACAACAGGCATGGATACTGGCTTTATTTCATGTAAATGTTTACTTTGGACAGTTCAGAGTCTCAAAGTACTTAACATTTGTATACATGCTTCTATGAGGAGAAGCTCTTCATGATGCCTCTTTAACACACTTGCAGTGGAAAAAAGTCGTAGTGGAACTTTTCAGTTCAGTAAAAAAAACAAATCAAAGTTAAAGCCAAGTAACAAAAACATTCCAGTTTTTTGTGGTATTGTTGACTGGATTAGTCCTGTAGTACTGTTGGTTACAGTTTACCTGTAACCACTGCTCTCTTTTCTAATGCTGGCTTCATCATGTCATTGTAACATAGTAATATAGGAAATGACATTCTTAGACTAACATTGTGGCAGTTATAAAAGCTATACTTCATCTACAGTACAGACAACAACACAACAGTATCGCATAATTGTGAAGTGGAAAGAAAATGATACGTGGTGTTCAAGATTTTTTACAAATAAAAATCTGAAAAGTGTGGTGTGCTTATGTATTCAGCCCCCTTGAGTCGAACCACCTTTCACTGCAATTGATTTGATTTATTCTTTCAAGCATGTAAAGACAGTTGATATGACAACACACATAATTTTACACATAATCCAATGTCAATGTGCTTATACCTAGTACATGCTTGAATGGAATAGGAAGAAGTCAGACTTATCCAGTCCTACCCCATGACATCATCTTACCATCATTGGTTTGCAAGCAGTAAATGATTCACTTCTACACCACACAAGTATTATACTAAAAAAGATTATAACAGTGTTAACATTCTTACATAATTACATTCTTGAATAATTATCTTCTACACCACACAAGTAATATAGTAAAGAATTATTACAAAGTGTACACCACACCCACAATGTTCCATCTAATTAATCATTGAGCCTGTTCTTGCATACAGTGGGTACGGAAAGTATTCAGACCTCCTTAAATTTTTCCCTTTTTGTTATATTGCAGCCATATGCTAAAATCATTGAAGTTCATTTTTTTCCTCATTAATGTACACACAGCACCCCATATTGACAGAAAAACACAGAATTTTTGACATTTTTGCAGATTTATTAAAAAAGAAAAACTGAAATATCACATGGTCATAAGTATTCAGACCCTTTGCTCAGTATTTAGTAGAAGCACCCTTTTGAGCTAATACAGCCATGAGTCTTTTTGGGAATGATGCAACAAGTTCACACCTGCATTTGGGGATCCTCTGCCATTCCTCCTTGCAGATCCTCTCCAGTTCTGTAAGGTTGGATGGTAAACTTTGGTGGACAGCCATTTTCAGGTCTCTCCAGAGATGCTCAATGGG